AAAAAAAAAAAAAAAGATCTCTAAAGAATATAGGGGCTGGGTGTGGTGGCTCATGCCTGTAATCCCAACACATTGAGAGGCTGAGGCAGGTGAACCACTTGAGGTCACGAGTTTGAGACTAACCTGGCCAACATGGTGAAACCCCATCTCTACTAAAAACACAAAAAAAATTATCCGGGCATGGTGGTGGCGGGCGCCTATAATTCGGGTGGCTGAGGTAGGAGAATTGCCTAAACCTGGGAGGCAGAGGTTGCTGTGAGCCGAGATCATGCCACTGCACTCCAGCCTGGGTGACAGAGTGAGACTCCATCTCAAACAAACCAAAAGAATATAGGAATAGGCCAGGCATGATGGCTCACTCCTGTAATCCCAGCACATTGGGAGGCTGAGGTGGGCAGATGGCTTGAACCCCGGAGTTTAAGACCAGCCTGAGCAACATGGTGAAACCCCATCTCTACAAAAAGATACAAAAAACTAGCCAGGTATGGTGGTGCGTGCCTAGAGTCCCAGCTACTTGGGAGGCTGAGGAGGGAGAATCACCTGAGCCCGGGAGGTTGAGGCTACAGTAAGTCATGATCACACCACTGCACACCAGCCTATGTGACGGAGTGAGACCCTGTGTCAAAAAATACAGGAATAGCAGAAAAGGGAACAGCTAATTCTCAAGAAGCAAACTTAGAAGAGCCCACACCCCCCTGACCAGGATTGAAATTGACACCTTATTGTGTAGGGTGTGGCTTTCCCCGTGTTGTGCTAGAGCCAGTCTGTACAGGCTGGCCAGAGCCAGTTTCGCACATCGCTTCCCAAGTCTGCATTGAAATCAGCCATGGTGGGAGTATTCACACCATAGAAATCAGCAAACACAGCAAAACCAAAAAGGTTTTGAACTACCTGTTAGCTATTTGTTAAATGTCTGCCAACACAAGTCAGGCCCAGTAGCAGGTACCTATGGTCCCAGCTACTTGGGAGGCTGAGGTGGTCCAGCCTGGGCAACATAGCAAAATCCTACCTAAAAATTAAAAAAAAACTTTTTTAGTGTGCCTATCGTATAGAGTGCAAGGGACAAATGCATTCGATGCGGCTGGAGAGATGATGTTTATCAGAGATCAAGGCCTTTTAAGCCAGGTAAGGGATTTTGGATTTAAGAGCAGTGGGGAGCTATTACTAGGGAGTGACACCGTCAGTTACTCAGTTGTGTACTTCAGAAAGATCACTTCATCTACAGTGTGGAAAACTGCAAACAGACTCCTATTAGGAGACTTGTGGTAACCTCCAAGTAATATGGCTACCTAAACTGAGGAAGTGACCATGGGGATGTGGAAGGGGAGACAGATTTGAAAAGTATGAAGGGGGCAAGATCAGTAGGACTTTTGGGGGTAGATCTGACTGCCAGGCAGAAACCAGCTCACCCTCCCTCAGTTTATGCTTCAAGCCAAACAGTGCAAATGGCTCCAAGTTTTCCTCCCAAGAGCCTTAGGCTCTGTCCAGCAGCCCCATTCTACAGGCCTTTCTCAGGCACCTGCCTCTGCACACACCCAAGAGGACCCTGAGGCCAGAGGTGGCAGAGTGGCTGCCCTACAGACAGTGTGGCCGTAAGCCCTGGAGGGAGGGAGGAGAGCTGCAAACCAGGGAGCACATGGAAACGGGGAAGCTTTGGGCTTAGTGTTAAGGGAGTCAGTCTCCTCTTCTTCCAGCCACCCAAAAATTACTGAAGCAGTGTTGTAACTGTACTGCTAACTTTCAGAAGGAGGCTTTATATTGCAATGTTACGGATGAAGAAACAGACTAAAATAGATGAAATAATTTGTCCAAGGCCACATAACTGATAAGTGACAGAGCCAAGATCTGAACCTAAATATGATTTCAAAGCCTGTGCACATGGTACTCTTTACTCAGAGCTGCAGGGAAGAGAAGGGGGGCTTTTGCATTTCCAACTTGAACTGTGGAGCAGAGAAAGCCAAACTCACTGTCCCAGTCAGCACTGCTTCCCAGACAGATGAGTGCTTGGTCCCACCGATGAGACTATCTCTGCTGCCCAGGAACCAATGCAAAGTTTAACTAAATTGAAAATTAAATGTAACTGGATGGGCAGAGTGGCTCATGCCTGTAATCCCAGCACTTTGGGAGGCCGAGGCGGGTGGATCACCTGAGCTCAGGAGTTTGAGACCAGCCTGGCCAACATGGTGAAAACCCATCTCTAGTAAAATTACAAAAAATTAGCTGGGTATGATGGCGGGCGCCTGTAATTCCAGCTACTCGGGAGGCTGAGGTAGGAGGATCCCTTGAACCCGAGAGGCGGAGGTTGCAGTAAGCCAAGCTCACACCACTACACTCCAGCCTGGACAACGAGCGAAACTCCGTCTCAAAATAATAGATTAAATGTAATTAATTCTTGTTAATTAATTCTGCAAATTAATGCTGTCACCTTAATTGCTTAATGGAACAATGAGAAATGAAGGTCTTTATTTAAAAAACGAAAGCCTTGAAAGAGTTCCATCAGCCACAAAATTGGCATACCCATAAACCTTATATCAAATGAGCAAATTTGGCTGGGCACGGTTGCTCACGCCTGTAATCCTAGCATTTTCGGGCTGAGGCAGGCAGATTATTTGAACTCAGGAGTTCCAGACCAGCCTGGGAAACATGGCAAAACCTTGTCTCTACAAAAAAAAAAAAAAATAGCCAGGCATGGTGGCACACACCTGTAATCCCAGCTACTTGGGGGGCTGACACAGAAGGATTGCTTGAACCTGGGAGGTTGAGGCTGCAGTGAGCCGAGATTGTGCCACTGCACTCTAGCCTGGGTGACAAAGTGAGACCCTGTTTAAAAAAAAAAAAAAAAAAAAAAAAAGAAGCAAATTTCTTTTTCTGCTTCCAAGTATGAAACCATAATGGAGTAACGGACTGAATTTACCATCCCACATTTAAAAAGCCAGATAAAATATATAAAACAATAATTTTCAGAACTCGGCAATAGGCAATGTGAAAGAGCCCTGAGAGAAGGGAAACAAATGGGAGGAGTCCTAGCATTGGCCCAGCTTTTTTTTTTTTTGAGACAGGGTCTCATGATGATAGTTCACTGCGACCTCGACCTCCTAGACTCCCAAGTAGCTGGGACAACAGGTGCACAGCACCACACCCGGCTGATATTTGTATTTTTCTGTAGGGACAGGGTTTTGCCATGTTGGCCAGGCTGGTCTGGAACTCCTGGGCTCAAGTGACCCTCCTGCCTTGGCCTGTTAAAGTGCTTGGATTACAGGCGTGAGCCACCGCTCCTGGCCCTTTTTTTTTCTTTTGAGACGGAGTCTCGCTCTGTTGCCCAGGCTGGAGTGCAATGGTGCGATCTTGGCTCACTGCGACATCTGCCTCCCGGGTTCAAGTGATTCTCCTGCCTCAGCCTCCTGAGTAGCTGGGATTACAGGTATACGCCACCACGCCCAGCTAATTTTTGTATTTTTAGTAGAGACGGGGTTTCACCATGTTGGCCAGGCTGGTCTTGAACTCCCGACCTCAGGTGATCCGCCCACCTCGGCCTCCCAAAGTGCTAGGATTACAGGTGTGAGCCACCGCGCCCGGCCCTCCATACCTATCTTCTTAGTCCCTCTGGCACTCTTAGACGACAGTGACTTCTTTCTAAAGCCAACCCTGCCTTTCGTGTTTTGAGTCTATGCTTCCCGACTGCAAATAAGTTTAACTGTAATAATTATATATTAAATAGTTATAATAGGCCTGGCTTGGTGTCCAGAAAAGCCTGGGCCGCGAAAGGGATTCCGTAAATATCCGTGGGATGTGAAACGTCCTCACAAACTGCAAATCCCAGCAGGCGGAGAGACAGAAGTACAGGCCCATTGATTTGCCTCCAACTGCCACCCCGACCCCACCCCGCACACGCGCGTAGGGCTCTCCGGGGACGCCCCAGAGCCCGCGCACGCGGCCGTGAGCCCGCCCGGAGCGGGTGGATCCCTCGGCCCTCAGCGGCCACCCCACTGGTCCCCGACAGAAAGGCCCGCCGGATGGCAGCTAATCCGCGCGCGGCGAGCCGCCCTCACCCCTCGAGCCCCGCCCCCGGCCGCGGAGGTCCCGCGCTAACGAGGGGTCCTCCCGGCGTCCTAGAGAGGCCCCGCGACAGACGCACTTCCGCTCGCGCCGCAGGGGCTCTTACCTCTCGGATGCCGGGCTGGCAGGCCTGCTAGCGCATTTGGGGACTTTTTGGAGGAGACGAGTACCAACAGAGTTGGGTCCATCAGAAGACACCTGCCTGTGAAGCGTATTATAAACAAGTAAAAACAATGGGTGTTCTTGTCCGCGGTACTGCAGGAGAGTGGAGTGGCCGTCGATTCCCAGGATTAGGAGACAAGGACGTGGGAAAGACCCCTGGGGGATTGGAAAGGGGTCCGAGCTCGGGTCCCGGGGCTCCTGAAATGGACTTCCACTGTCCGGTCGGTCACTGCCCTCAAGCCACCTTCCTCCTTCCCTTCTGTGCATCGTGCTGGCTCAGCGCTTCGGGGAGAGGGACAGGTGGGCGCGACGTTGTGTGGCCGCCCTGCGTTTGGGACCCTTTCCTGCTCCGCAGCGCTGACGCCGCTGGGCTGTTGAGGCGCCCAGCGCAGGTGTTGAGCGCTTGCCCGCCGCGCCCAGCGCAGGTGCTTCACGTTTCAGGCGGCCAGCGAGTGGATGACGACTGTGTCCACCTGCCCCGCTGAGGCTGCTCCCTTTCTCATGTGATCGCCAGAATCGTCCCCGCCCCTTCCCACTGGGCTTTTACTGAGGTCCAGCTGACTTCCATTTGCAGGGGTTCACCCAGACAAGTCTTTTTGACATAGCTTTATTCCCAAAGCTGAGAGGTGCGGTGAAGAGGAAATTATTGCGGAAGTGACTCGGTCTTTTTTTTTTTTTTTTAAAGGTAAAATGTTTTATTTGGGGAACAGTGGTTAGAGGATGAATTTCAGGAAGTTCATGAATTCTCTGAAACTGCATGTACATTTTTCCGGGCAGAGCTTTCCTGGTTCTCAAAGAAGATTCATGACTTAACAGCATTAAGAACCTGGCATCCGCCAGGAGTCACAACACTTGTAAAAATTGAATGGTAAACAAGCAGCAGCACCCGCCGCCACCGTGAAATTTCAGTAATGTGATTTTTTGTTAAAGGCCATACAAATGGTCCGGAATATCTTAAGTTGTTAATCATGAAGAAAAACGTGTATACCAACACACACACAATAGATAACACTTGTCCTGTTATTTAAGATGAAGGATCTCACCAAGCAAAGCAGAAGATCAAGGACACAGAATGTGCACTGTATGCAAAACCAGAAGCTAACAAGCATGTTGGGGTACTTTGGTAAGGTGAAACTTACAAGGTGGGGACAAAACTGGTAACCAAAGTCCTATTAAAAACTATAGTGAAGGGCCGGGCGCGGTGGCTCAAGCCTGTAATCCCAGCACTTTGGGAGGCCGAGACGGGCGGATCACGAGGTCAGGAGATCGAAACCATCCTGGCTAACATGGTGAAACCCCGTCTCTACTAAAAAAAATACAAAAAACTAGCTGGGCGAGGTGGCGGGCGCCTGTAGTCCCCGCTACTCGGGAGGCTGAGGCAGGAGAATGGCGTGAACCCGGGAGGCGGAGCTTGCAGTGAGCTGAGATCCGGCCACTGCACTCCAGCCTGGGTGACAGAGCGAGACTCCGTCTCAAAAAAAAAAAAAAAAACCTATAGTGAAACATAATGCAATTTGGAATAATAAACATGACAAAGGCATTATCTCAATAAAATAGTAAAGAAATTTTATTCACCTAAGGTGTTAGTATACCATTAAAATTAGGGAAGGAAGAAAATGTACATGGGCACAGCTTCAAAAATTCTGAAGTGTATTTCTGGGTATTTAGGTAAGACTTTAAGATTGAGGCCTGTGCGGTTTTTTAATGGGTCTAAAATTAAGACAATTCATGTCCTTTCCTTCATAGTATTTGCACAAATCATCATTACCAGTCATGACTGTGGTCAGATGCTGACTCCCAAGTAAGTCGAAGAGGGAGGCAAACAGAAGGGAAAGAAAAATCTTCCTGAGATATCTGGGTAAGACGTGGAAGAGGACAGGGAATTGAGGTTAAGGGTTTGCGTATAGTGTACCTAACAAGATGCAGGTGATTTCATTCACCAGCAATCTTTGGCGGCGGGGGGGGCAGGCGGGTAGGGAATATATATCTATATATGGTAGATTTTTCTGGGAATGAGACGTGAGACTTCCCCCTTAAGAACATGCTCAGGTACAACAGGTCACTAAATTGCCTCCTAATGTTCCATTGAATTAATGGTGAACTAGAGGACGTTTTGCTGAGCAGTGATGGGATTGAGCTAGGGCCAGGGGAAGTGAGAGGGTGGACTGGATATCTAGTAGGCAAAAAGAAGTTGAGGTGACTGAGCCTTGAGAGGGAAGGACAAAGAGAAAAACCTGCACTGGTGGTTTGGCCAATAAGGTACTTCTGAGAACAAAACGTCTAATAGGATGCACAGTGTGAGCTCTTCTCCTTTGCTTACACACTATCTTCAGTGAAGTCCAGATTGCTCAGGGGTGTTTGTGTGAATAGATTGTTCAGGAGAAGCCTGAAGGGGTGCCGAATTCTCTGTCAGGGCTGACGAGGTAAATGTGGCAATGAAACATGCCAACGGAATCAGGCATGGAAGGGATCGTGAGATCCAGGTTTCCTGTGGGAAAGAGATGGTCTGGGCACAATTCAGTCTGCGCTCCAGCAATGAGAACAGGAGGAAGAGGGCGCACTGCACTTGTCATCAACCAAAGGGAAGAAGTAAATCAAACACCTTCCCTTACCAAGAGTGTGACTGTTCCAGGCAGAGGTATCTGGAAGGACGTGAAAACTCTGCAGTCATCTATTTGTACAACCCTTTTCTCAAGCCAAGTAGATAAACCTGGGAAGACACCTATATTGGAGTACAGAATAAACCCATTTGGTGAATTATTTTGGCTGTGATCAGTTCTGTTACCAAGGACATGATTTAAATTCATTATATTCAAATCTACGTAGAAATCAGTAATAGAAAATGTGCAAAGGAGCTCAGATAAGGCGGGAATGAATGTGGCTGTCTGCAGCACAGCACAGTGGTTAAGACCATCAACCAGGTTTGGAGTCTTGGCTCTGGCTCTTCCTAGCTGTGTAATCATGGGTCAATTACTTAACACTGCCCCTTCTGCCCCCTCCTTATCTTTTAAATTGGGGTAAGAATACCCACATCATTGATGGTTGCACCACTATATAAATTAAAAATCATTCAACTGAACACTTAAAACAGGTGCATTTTATAGTATGTAAATTATACCTTCATAAAGCTTTAAAAAAATGAGTACCCATATCATAGAAATGATGTGAAAATTAAAATGTAAACTGGCACTGTGCCTGTCAGGTAGTAAACACTCAATAAATATTAGTGACTAATACTAGTGTAACAAAGACGAGGTTAAAGAACAATAAAGATATTTAAAGTTAAATTTTTAAAGAATTAAGGAATTACTGGGCTGGTTGAAACTTTAGCAATCATTTAGTTCAACTCTTCCATTTTACAGATGAGAAAATTGGAGACCAGCAGGTGAAGTGCCTTATTCAAGGTCTAGCACTAAGACCAGACCCCAGGCCTGCTGGACCCCCATTAGTGCAATTCCCACTAACAGCCACTGCCTCAGAAACATGGACACATAAAAAATGGAGGCTGTGTTTCCTTAAAGAAGAAATAAATATAGAACACAAAAAACATGCAGCGATGGTGAAGAAACAATTTCAAGTCTGGGCATGGTAGCTCACACCTGTAATCTCAATACTTTCGGAAGCGGAGGCAAAAAGGTCACTGGAGCCCAGGCGTTCAAGACCAGCCTGGGCAACACAGCAAGACCTTATCTCTGTTTTTTAAAAGTTATTCAAGAAAAAAGAATTTCAAGGCCAAGGGGGAAAACCAAGAAGAGGCTGCCACATCCTGACTTAGCCAGGGCCTCCAGTGAGGTCCAGGTAATGAGAACTGAAGTGCTTTGGCAAGGCCAGACCCTGGTTTGTCATCAGGTGCGCTGGCTCACCACTGTAGCCAGGTGCCTGGAGGAGGCGAAGCCACAGTCCTCTCTACTACTTCCCGTCACAGTATCTGTCAGCAGTGGCAGGAGATGGGGCCAAAAATGTATGCAGCAGAATTCTTAGGAGCAGTCAGTCTGAGCACCCCTGAAGCGTGGACAGCTCCTGAATAGCTGCTTCTGCCCGTGCCAAGTAATGTGACCTCAATTGTTTATCCCCTGTTGTTGCCTAATCGGCCCCTCTGGATGCTAAGGCCTTCACTTATAACCCTGTTGTAAATTGCCTGGCAGTTCCTCCATCATGGCAGCCTCTTCAGATGAATAAGGAAGCCTAACAGATGTGAAATGACCCTGCTTCTTCATTAATGCTGCCATCTTCTAAAGTAACTTGATAGTAGGGCTGGAAAACTTTGAAGCTAATAAAAACTTACTAAATTATTCCAGTGCTAAACAGTGGACAGGAGAAATGAGGTGTGTCTTCTAAGTTATGACTTTCTAATATTTCAGGGGGTAACATTCAGTGAGTCAACTCTGTCATTCTTAGGAGGTGGTGGAATCCTGTTCCCACAATTTTGCTGAAGAGTAATTGAGGAAAGATGGCTGGTACAGACCCTTAATGTTTGTTATGTGATCCACTGGGGGAGGAGAAGGGAAAGGAAGAAGGACAGAGGGGAAATTAAGGCCTGAAATAGCTTTTCTGATTTAACTCAGTACATTGAAACCTCTCAATGAATAATTCATAAAAGTGCCTCATTAGTACCTGCAGTCCTAGCTACTTGGAAGGCTGAGGCAGGAGGACTGCTCGAGCCCAGCAGTTCAAGGAAGCAGTCAGTTATGATTGTGCCACTGCATCCCATCCTGGGCAACAGAGCAACACCCCACCACTTAAAAAAAAAAAAAAAAAAAAAAGTGCCTCATCTTCTTCAACCCACTGTTTAAGATCAGTGGGAGGACAGAGATTCTGTCCATTCATTTGATTTGAATACTTGGGACACATAGTATAAACAAATGAATATGTTGGACTTTAGCTTTTCCCCTAAAAACTTTCCTATTTTGCAGATTACTCCATACAGTGAACACTTTGATGTCGGAGGAGGTGAGAGCTCCGACTAAAAGTCTTTTGACATTCTTGGCACTCATAAGGCTTCTCTCCAGTGTGAATTCTCTGATGTATGATAAGTTGGGAATGCTGGCTAAATGTTTTCTCACACTCACTACATTCATAAGGTTTCTCTCCAATATGAATTTTCTGGTGGAGAAGCAGCTCAGAATTATCCCAGAAGGTTCTTGCACACTCATTACACTGATGGGGTTTCTCTCCAGTATGGATTCTCTGGTGGACAATCAGGTGAGAGGTCCGCCTGAAAGCCTTTCCACACTCCAAGCATTCATAGGGTTTCTCTCCAGTGTGGATCCTCTCGTGTCGAAGAAGTTCTGAGTTTCCCCTGAAGGCCTTCCCACATTCCTTACATACATAGGGCTTCTCACCAGTATGAATTCTAATATGTCTGATAATCTCTGAGTTCTGGCCGAAAGTTTTCCCACATTCATTACATTCATAGGGTTTGTCCCCTGTATGAATTCTCTGATGCCGGATAAGCTCCGAACTCTGACCAAAGCCCTTCCCACATTCATTACACAGATATGGTTTTTCTCCAGTATGAATTTTCTGGTGTCTGATAAGGCCTGAGCTATGCTTGAAGGCTTTGCCACACTCGTTGCATTCATGGTATCTTTCTTCAGTATGAATTCTCTGATGCTGAATAAGCTGTGAACTAACCCTAAAGGTCTTCCCACATTCATTACATTCATACGGTTTCTCTCCAGTATGGATTCTCTGGTGTAGAATAAGGGCTGAATTTTGACTGAAGGCTTTACCACATTCTTCACATTTATAGGGCCTCTCTCCAGTATGAATTCTATGATGGTGGATAAGATGTGAACTCTGAATGAAGGCCTTTCCACATTCATTACATTTATAGGGTTTTTCTCCAGTATGCATCCTCAAGTGTACAGTAAAGTCTGAGTTAGTTCTGAAGGCTTTTCCACATTCTTCACATTTGTAGGGTTTTTCTCCAGCATGAATTCTCAGGTGCCGTCGAAGGCTTGAATTAGTTCCGAATGTCTTTCCACATTCTTGGCATTCAAAGGGTTTTTCTCCACTGTGAACTCTCATATGCTGGATGAGATGTGAGTTCTGATTAAAGGCTTTCCCACACTCTTTACACACGTGAGGCTTTTCTCCCACAGAACTTCTCTGTGTTTTGTGAGATTCTAAAATCTCTATGAAGTTTTGGCCAGAGGTAGCAAATGCGCTTACTCCCTCTGTCGTAGTAGCTCCCTGATGTGTAACCAGATTTGCGCTGGGACTGCAGCCTCTCTCACTCTCATTCTTCTCCTGGTCTTTCTCACTTGAGGGTGATTTCTTAAAGATCAGCAACCCTGATGGAAAGTCTCTCTCCTGAGGAGACATCTGCTCTATAACCTCTTGCATGCACTCCTCTCTCGAACGTCCCTCCCACCTGTCTTCTTCACATCCTGCTCCAAACTCATCACCTTGGTAAACCACTTCTGGAAATGTTTCTAATATTGACCCATGTGGCTCAGATTCTTCAGAAATTTCTTCCTTGGGAATTACCTCCTTGTTCTCAGTCCCCATCTCACAATCTGAAACGAGAAAGGGTTAGTATGTGAAGGGACTGTATCATAGTTAAATGAAGCTACCACTGTAGGAGAACAGAGCTTTGATGTCGTTCTCATAGCACTCAAAAACACTCTTGGTAAGGGGAAGAGGGCAGCTGAGGCAGGGGATTGCTTGAGCCTGGGGAGGTCAAGGCTGCAGTGAGCTGAAACACACCACTGCACTTCAGCCTGAGTGACAAAGCAAGACCCTGTCTCAGAACAACAAAACAGTCTTGGTATCTGGTGACATGACAGCATGCTGCCAAAAAGAAGGTAAAGATTTAGGATTATGGTGGACATGCTAAACAGGGGATGCTGACTAACAGAAGTGAGAAGAGATTTCAAGACAGAAGTAGGAGATGGATGGTAAGGAGATGCTGATTTAAAAAAAGTTCCATAACATTAATGGTGAGTTGGGATAGAACTTGAAGGTGATAAAGAAAACATCTAGGGAAAATGGTGGCCATATTAATAGATAGGTATATGATAAATGTTGAAAGAAGGGACAGAAATGACATGGTGGTTCACACCTGTAATCCCAGCACTTTGGGAGGTCGAGGTGGGTGGATCACTTGAGCTCAGGAGTTCAAGACCAACCTGGGCAACATGGTGAAACCCTGTCTACTAAAAATACAAAAATTAACTGGGCATAGTGGCGGGCACCTGTATTCCCAGCTTCTTGGGGGGCTGAGGCAGGACAATCACTTGAACCAGGGAGGCAGAGGTTGCAGTGAGTCGAGACTGCACCACTGCACTCCAGCCTGGGTGACAGAGTGAGACCCTGTCTCAAAAAAAAAAGAAAAAAAAAAAAAAGGACAAGTTAATAGAAATAACTTTTGGGTGTATAGGGGAAGTAACGGCAAAATGAGTAACAAGAGGACTATTCTTAATCCTGTTCTCTGGTACTCATCAGCTGTGTAGAGCAGGAGAGGGGACATACAGGGCTTACCCCTTCAAAAGGTGAATGTGTCTTAACTGAAACTAGCACAGAAGCACCACCTTTTGACTCCCTGATGTTCAGAGCCACTGGCTTTAATCTTCTCCAGATGGCTAGTGAATTGTGTCAATACCATTTACTGAATAATTCTCTCCCCTACTGATTTAAAATGCCACCTACTCCATAGTCTAAATATCCATCTATATTTGGGCCAACTTCCGGATTCTATTCCGTTCCACTGATCTGTATCTTCTCTAATATCAAACAGTTCAACCTGTTAGCTTTATTAACATTTTTAACATATGCTAAAGAAAGTTCTCTCTCAGTTTTCTTTTTCAGACCTTTCCCGTCTATTCTCATATCTTCCCAAGTAAACTTTAGTATAAATTTGTAGTCCAAACTTATTCTGATGTTGTTTTTATGTTCATCATGTCTCTGTACCTCTTTTCCTTTAGTGAGTTTTTCTTACATTTTGTAACTAGCTATTACTTTTATATATACTAATGCTGTTGATAATTACATATTAATTTTGTAATCAGCTCTCTTATAGTATTTTCTTAATACCTTCATAAATCTTAAAGAGTACATTTTTGGGCCGGGTGCGGTGGCTCACGCCTGTAATCCCAGCACTTTGGGAGGCTGAGGCGGGCAGATCACAAGGTCAGGAGACCGAAACCATCCTGGCTAACATGGTGAAACTCCGTCTCTACAAAAAAATACAAAAAAATTAGCCGGGCGTGGTGGCGGGCTACTTGGGAGGCTGAGGCAGGAGAATGGTGTGAACCCGGGAGGCGGAGCTTGCAGCGAGCTGAGATGGCGCCACTGCATTCCAGCCTGGGCGACAGAGCGAGACTCCGTCTCAAAAAAAAAATTGGCCAGGGGCAGAGGCATGTGTTTGTAGTCTCAGCTACTGGGGAGGCTGAGGTAGGAGGGTCACTCGAGCCCAGGAGGTCAAGGCTGGAATGAGCCGTGATTGTGCCACTACACTCCAGCCTGGGCAACAGAACAAGACACCTTGTTTCTTGGGTGGCGGTGGGGGGCGGGGGGAGTACATTTTTTAAACTTTTAGAAAGATTTTTAGTTGTGGCAAAAATGTTTAGTTGCCTACCCCAATATCTCTTATTCCCCATTGCCTGACAATAGAATAATAAATTTATGTAGTGTGGCAATTAGCCTAGCTAAAAAAAAACACATTCCCCAGCTTTTTAATTTTTGCAGTTGGGATTGGCCGCATGATCATATTCTACCCAATGAGACAGTGAGATGCAAATGAAAACACATGGGACTACTAGGAAATCTGAAGGATGAGGGGATACATTTATTCCATCTTGTCTTCCATGCTGTTCCCAGAGCATGATGTGATAGCTGGACACCATCCTAGACCATGAGTATACTGGTATACCCTAGGACTGGGAATCATAGCTGGAAGGAACCTGGGTCCCTGATGACTCCATGGCACTGCCATAGCATTCCTGGAATGCCAGCCTCTGGACTTCATTTATCCAAGAGAGAAATAAGCTTTTGCCTTGCTTAAGATATTGGGGGGGTTTTGTTATTATACGAGGCCAAACCTATTCCTAATAAAATTGTCCTGGGGATTTAGCTGTCCCCACCACAGACAAGGGGTCCAAATGTCAGGAGAATAAGCTTGACCTTTGTTCAGATGGTAAACAACCTGGAACTAATATTCAAGTGGCCTTTGCTTAGGGCAGTATATTTGTGCACTACAGCAAATCTGAGGAATACAATCCTCCCGTCAGTGAGAGGGTTCACTGTGGAAGGTGATTCTCAAGGGGGTGTGGGCATGTATGGAACTTCATCCTTCAGACAACGCACAACTATGGGATTACTAAACCAAGGGGTTACGCCGGGCGCGGTGGCTCACGCCTGTAATCCCAGCACTTTGGGAGGCCGAGATGGGTGGATCACGAGGTCAGGAGATCGAGATCATCCTGGTGAACACGGTAAAACCCTGTCTCTACTGAAAATACAAAAAAAAATTAGCCAGGCATGGTGCGGGCCTAACCTGTAGCTCCCAGCTTCCTAGGGAGACTGGAGGT